GAATACTAGCCCAATGCTGTTCCAACTGAGCTTACGCGGCGATCAGGACGGTTCGAGTAAGTGATATTTCGGAACAGAATCTAGTTCCTTCAATACCAATGTTTTCTAGTAATACGAATTTTTTCTGTGTTGGTGTAGTGTACTCAGGTGAATATGATATTTGCGGTGTTACTCTGAGTGTATATCCACACCGGGCGAGCTTGAAAAATATGCCCGGCCACGGTGGAATTCGAACCTACGACCTTTGGAATACTAGCCCAATGCTGTTCCAACTGAGCTTACGCGGTCAGGACGGTTCGAGTAAGTGATATTTCGGAACAGAATCTAGTTCCTTCAATACCAATGTTTTCTAGTAATATGAATTTTTTCTGTGTTGGTGTAGTGTACTCAGGTGAATATGATATTTGCGGTGTTACTCTGAGTGTATATCCACACCGGGCGAGCTTGATAAATATGCCCGGCCACGGTGGGATTCGAACCTACGACCTTTGGAATACTAGCCCAATGCTCTTCCAACTGAGCTACGCGGTCAGGACGGTTCGAGTAAGTGATATTTCGGAACAGAATCTAGTTCCTTCGATACCAATGTATTCTAGTAATATGAATTTTTTTTTTGTGTAAAAAAAGGAAGAGCATTGGGCTAGTATTCCAAAGGTCGTAGGTTCGAATCCCACCGTGGCCTGGCATATTTTTCAAGCTCGCCCGGTGTGGATATACACTCAGAGTAACACCACAAATATCATATTCACCTGAGTACACTACACCAACACAGAAAAAATTCATATTACTAGAAAAAACATTGGTATTGAAGGAACTAGATTCTGTTCCGAAATATCGCATACTCGAACCATCCTGACCGCGTAGCTCAGTTGGAAGAGCATTGGGCTAGTATTCCAAAGGTCGTAGGTTCGAATCCCACCGTGGCCGGGCATATTTTTCAAGCTCGCCCGGTGTGGATATACACTCAGAGTAACACCGCAAATATCATATTCACCTGAGTACACTACACCAACACAGAAAAAATTCATATTACTAGAAAACATTGGTATTGAAGGAACTAGATTCTGTTCCGAAATATCACTTACTCGAACCGTCCTGACCGCGTAGCTCAGTAGGAAGAGCATTGGGCTAGCATTCCAAAGGTCGTAGGTTCGAATCCCACCGTGGCCGGGCATATTTTTCAAGCTCGCCCGGTGTGGATATACACTCAGAGTAACACCACAAATATCAGGTTTTAGTATATCGTCGAGGGTCTCTATACTTAAATCAGGCGGTAGTGGAATGAATGCCTTTGTTTTCTTGCTGAAAACAGAGGCACTATCCCTAGGGCGTGAGGTGCTTATCGTTGGGCTTGAAGGCGTGGTGAACATTCTTTGTTTGGATATTATTTTTGGATCCAGAATGTACATTCTCTTCTGTCGTTGTATCAGTGATCTAGTTGCTGTTACTAAATTTTTAATTGCAAAAACTTCCCTTTTGAAAGCAAGACTAGCAGTTCCCGAAATAACCATGCCGACCCTTATGGCCAACTCATCCTTTGTGTCACAGTCGAGAACATTATGATAGCGAAGAATTTCTCGCAACTTAAATATAGGCATTTGTGACAACTCGGTAATCGATGATGGAAGTGAGTTGATGTCCCCATCGTAAATCTCTAGTGGTGGAGGTAAAGGAAGCTTCAACGTTTCGACAAGTCGCTGCACAATTTGGTGTTTCTTCCCCTCGGATGAAATTTTGAATTCTTTGCATTGACGTATCAATAATGCTTTGTCCTTTGTCTTATACAAGTCTTGATGCCTCCAGTATTCCCTTTCTTTATCATTTTTGTATGATTTATCAACTAAGGAATGCTACACCGGGTGTTATTCTGTCCACATCATGTTTAAAAAGTTTGAAGCGATATCAAGAATATTTGATGGAATAAATGCTCCTGGTGTGGCATCAATGACATCTGTATCTAAATTCTTCATTTTTTCTAAAGGAATATAATGAAGTTCACCACCTGTCTTGTACCACCTAACTAACATAGTAATTTTTTATAGTCTTCTTCGAGATCTGGATTTAAAATTATTGTCGAATATTTATTTGCCAAACAGGTTTGCTCTCCTTCATCGAACGTATTTTTTGAGCCTTTGGTAATCTTGTCGGTAGCATCCAACAAAATCTACGTTCAAATCCCAAATTAACGCAACGTCCTGCCAAAGTTTGTTTTGCTTAGGGAAGTAGTGTTCGTTATCTTCATTCTTTAGTCTCTCACTACGACCAAGAAAGGTCAAAAGTTGTTTCTCGCCATCAAAAACAAAGTTATCTTCATCACCAATACCACGCTGCAAAGATAGTGGCTTCCCACCATATCAAGCATTCTGTAAAGATTTTCCAACTTCATTTGCCACAAATTCCATGTTTTCCAAATGCTGCTGATCGTCTTTCTCATATTCTTTGTGTACACCAGTACTTGTAAAAACCTCATTGGATAAGGCGCGGTTCTCGACAGCGTGAACTCGTTCCACTGGATTTCGTTTACTGTGATACTCTGCAAACGACTTCTGGGTTAATGACTTCAACTCTAGAACATTAGCCATACGTGCCAACCACATTTTGACCATTGGATGAGAGGGTGCTTCAGAAGAACCATTATCAACTACATAAATAAAATGTTCCTTTAATTTGCCTGATTCAGGATTGCGGAAGTATTGATCCAATCTCTCTGGACAGTTTCTGGCTCGAAGTAAGACAAATTTAATAAAATAGCTGCTGAACCACTTCTTTTTACAGTGTAGTGATCTTCTTCTTTGGTTGCATCCTCTAAATGCAACTCTGTCTCCATGAATAAATGCATCATTGGTGTAATACTGTTATGGGCTACTG